GCAGTCTTGACAACGGATCGGCAATGTTGGCTTTACCTGACACATGCACAATTTTGTAACGAAAAGACTGCAACCTTAAAGCCCACCTAGGGCATTGTTTACGGTTTGTCCCAAACATAACTTTCAGTGGTTCATGGTCAGTGATTAGTTTGAATTCTAATCCTCTGAGATACGCTTCGAGCCTTTCCGTCGCCCATACCAATGCTAATGCTTCCCTTTCGTTCTGTGCGTAAGCTTGTTCCGCTGGAGACAATCCCTTACTAATGTAGCAAATAGCTCTTTTTCGTCCCTGCTTCTCTTGGAGTAAGACGGCTCCCAAAGCCACGGGGCTAGCATCAGCGATCAAAATGGTTTCATCGTGTGGCGAATAATACCCAAGATTCCGTGGATTGGCAACTTCATCCTTGATTTTTTCGAAAGCCAAAGTATGTTTGGGTTCCCATTTGAATCGCTTTTCCTTGCACAGAAGTTCCCTCAACGGAGCAGTCAGAGATGATAAGTTAGGGATGAACTTACCGAGATAGTTGATTAGTCCTAAGAAGCTTCAAAGTTCTTCCACGGATTCAGAATTACGGAACTTGCGGATTGCATCTACTTTCTCGGCTGCTGGACTAATGCCTTTGTCGCTTAGCTGATGTCCCATAAACTTCACTTCAGATTTTGAAAACTCACATTTCTGTATGTTAACGGTTAGTCCACTCTCCTCCAGCCTTTCCATCACAGCTTTCAACGCTCTGTCATGACTTGCCTTGTCCGGCCGAACAGCAATAAATCGTCGATGAATGATTTAACTCCTGGAATCCCCGCCAACACTCGCTCCATTACGCTTTGGAACACTTCGGAAGCACAATTAATTCCAAAGGTCAGGCGTTTGTATCGATAGTACCCAGCGTGCGTAGCGAAGGTAGTAATCGATCGTAAATCTTCTGCTAACTCGAGCTGATGAAAAGCCTTGTTAAGGTCGATTTTGGAAAACACCTTGCAGTTGTGTAGATGAGGGACGCTGTTAGCATCGCGCATGTCGACACACAGGCGAATTACATCGTTGTTACCTGGCTTTGATCGAACTACGATTCGTGAGATCCACGGAGAATCACGTGGGGCTCTTTCGATTACATCCTGTTCTAGTAATCTGGCTATCTCCTGCTCGACTTTCGGTTACAGTGGAATTGGAATACGATTTTGCGTCTGCTGAACTGGTTTCACCGTAGGGTCTACCTGAATTGACACCACCAAGCAGATGACATTTTTCACATTTCTTGTCGCGGGCCGGACATTCGTTGTCGTTAGCGTAATGCCCCGAATAGCCACAACGAAAACAAACACCCTTCGATCCAGAAATTTCATTCAAATATTCGTTTTTCTGCAAATTCTTTCGATGGTTCTCGATGGTTTCCAAAGAACGAGCCATTTCGATCGTTTGTGCCAGTGTCATGTCTGGCTTTGTAAGTATCTTGGCTCTCAACTCATCCGAAAAGCCTTTTTCAAATAGCTGCTCCTTTATATTTTCTTCCAGCCAGTTTCCGTAGTCGCAAAGGCTCCCCTGCTCCCTTAGACGCAGTACAAATTTCTCGATGGACTCATCAGGACTTTGCTCGAGGTTCCTGAAAATGTGTCTTTCCCTTGGCAAGCACTTTAGTGGCAGGAAGTAGTCGTCGAGTAATTTCACTGATTCCTTATACAAATCGGTTCCTTCCGGTATTGGAAGTTCTTCTTCACCACGCACATTGAAAAATATATCCTGAACATCACTGTCCGCATAGTGTAGTATATACGAGCGTTTCCGGGAGGGTATCGTCACATTGTATACCTCAAGGAAAATTTCGAAACAGCCTTTCCACTTCTTCCAGTGATTACATATTGTCGATGTGTCACTGGGATCGAATCTCGGAGGGTAGACGTGGCAGGATTTTCCATTTTTACTTATCTTCCGACGGACTGAACTATGCAGACCGTTTCGCGCACTATTAAATTTCTCTTCTCTCCTTGTATTGTTTACAACTCGCAGCAGTAGGGTTGGTGTGAACGTCAAAGCATTTCCAAACTCCTCTTCAGGCCTTTTCGTGTAGTTTGTGTTTCGTGCAGTTCCTCCACCATTTGCTTATATGCCGCTTTTGATGAAACGCAATTCCCGAAGCCTACTTTCTTTTGATTTCAAGTTCCACTTAATTTTCCGAACGAATTTAATCAACCTCCGGACCGTTTTCACTCTGGATTTTTACTTATTTTTATCCTCGTCGCCAAATGTTGTATCTTTGACCAGGGATTAGATTATCGAATTGAATCAAAACACACGCGTTTACATTGGTTGACTCTTTCTTTTATTCTTCCCTTTGATCAGTGTGTCCAGATTAAATTTCTCTTTATCTAATGTAACAGCTTCTATTTATTAAATGCTTGATATAACGATTGCCAGCAACGCCGGCTGGGGGTATCCTATGGCTTACCCTCCCTACTAACAAAAATCCACCCTACCCGTGACACTTATGAGGGGTCGTAGAGTTCTCTGCATCTCTCTTAAGTAAGTGTCGGACTAACATTCCTCCCCTTTCCCCCACCAGATGCAAGGACGTGGCCAGGACAGCTCTGGTCTGTTGGAGGGAGACATCCTTTATCTAAGAGGTAGTAATTTATCACAAATTACTATCTAACAGCAACGGATGAAGGTGGGTCTCCTTTTTAATAACAGTATGGAGCTCGTACCACCTACGCCATTGTGCAACCTGGTTTATGCTATGCTATGCTATGCTAAGTGCGTCCACCGAAGCTCTGAAATGTTCGATGAAATCTGCTCAAAAAAACTTGAAAACATATTTATAGGAAATTTTTTATTGAAATACTTGCGTTGCCTGTACCCTCGGGTTAATTTGACTTCAAACTAAAATTGCCGTATCTTAACGAAATTTCAAATGATTAACAAAGAAAAATTTAGTAGGCTTTGAGTTTAAATTATCTGACTTTTTTGCAGGGGCGGATCTCTCGGGAGGAGAAGTCATTGTAAAAACTTATCCATGAAGTCACATATTTTAATGTCAGCGATGTTTATATCACGAGGACCCAACGATATAGGATGTTGCTACCATCTACAAAGATATTCAAGAATACTTCTTCTTCTTCTTGTTCGCATTTCAAGCTTATTGCTTAGCGCATATTAGCTTATTGCGTGCTCTCAACTTAGTGTTCTAAATGCACTTCCTCAGTTATTAATTGAGAGCTACCGATACCAATTACCAATGCATGAATTTGTATATTATGTGGCAAACACAATGATACCAACAATCAATACGAAACTAACGATTTTAAATTGGCTCACTACTTGACTAGCCTATTGGTCCCAAGCAAACGATTAACGTATTCCATTCTAGTCGAAATTCTAGTACTACGCAATGTTTGTTTTGATTTGCTATGAAAGTTTGACAGATAAAATGAGGGACTATTGGTTTTTCTTATGTTTCGAGGGGTGAATCGATTAGCTTGGGACCGAAAAGAGTACCCGAGCTGAGCCAAAAAGTTGAGCACGTTATTTCGGGACCTTCTAGTCTTAGAGTTACCTCTATGATGATACTCTATGCCCAAGGAAGTCGAGAAAATTTCCAACCCGAAAGATTCCCTCGACCGGACCGGACCGTGCCTTTACTGACTAGGCTATGAGGCCCCAATTCAAGAATACAGGGTCTTCAAAGCTATGGAAAGTGTATGACAGAATTTACTCATTAGATGGCGCTAAAACGAAAAAGATTAAGTTGCACCATCTTAAATACACATTATATAATGATATCTACAGATTCTGCTCAAATGAATGGTTTCTGTCTTAAGCAAAGTTTTTCGCGCAAGTGTGTTATTTAAATTATTATTTTCACAACAAAATAGGTCTTGCCCAACTTTGCTAAAAACCGAATCCTTCTATCTATAGTAGTCCATCTGAGGGCAAACATGCAAAATGAATATCACACTAGCCCTGCCTGGTGAGAGAATTCTGAGGAGTTCGTTTTACCACAAAATAGGTCTTGTCCATCTGAACAACTTTACCGAAGCCGGAAACCTTATATCTACTCCATATGCTAAGTTAGGGCAAACCATTCAAAATGAATATCACACTAACGCTGCCTTGTGAGTGAATTCTGAACTAAACTATGTACCTCAGCATAGGTCATGTCTTTATGAATAACTTAACCGGAGATGGAAAGCTTCTATCTAGTTCACGCCCCCTGGGTGCGTTAATTCTGAGCCGAACTCTTTACCACAAAAAAAGCCTGAACAACTTTTCGCATGACAGAAACCTTATATCTAGTCAAGATGTTAAGTTAGGACAAACAATTCGAAATGAATGACAAACTAGCGCTGTCTGGTGAGCGAATTCTGAACCAATCTCTTTACTTTAGGATAGATCTTGTTCATTTGAACAACTTTGCATCAAAATATACATCCTGCCTTTAGAACTGACAAATAAAGTGCATCTGAAGAATACAACCCACGGAATCAAAACTGCATGAAATTCACGCTGCTACGACTCACCCGCACCCACTCAGTTTTCCTGTGCAAACACACGACCGGTGAGAATAGTTCAGTAACTGAGTTGAAATTAACTCAAAATTGCAAAAAAAAATAAGTGAACTACTCAGTGAGTGAGTAAAATGTTCCTCACATTTCCGGGCAAAACAGCTTGAATATAAGGAAAATCGACCAAACTTTTACTCAGTTTTATAGTATACTAATATACTGAGTGAAATATCGCTCGAATTTCCTCACATTCAAGAAATTTGACCTGGAAAATCGAGGAAACTTTTACTCAGTCACTGAGTAACCCCACTTTATGCTATTTGGCGACTCAATTTTGAGTTACTTTCATTGGCCGTGCAAGTAGCACACGGCTCACGGAAGAGAACTGAGCAACGAGTGCGCAACGGAATCATACCTGAGCTCTCTCGCGCAAGAGAATCCGACGATTGCACACCAAAGTTGAGTTCCCATCGCGCAAGCAGGCTCAATTTAAGCACGACGGACATGTTGCTTCACTACTGAGTTAACTTTTGACGAGTGAAGTTGGGAAGTGCTGTTCGGATTTGTCGCCGTTTAGAAGTGAGTTGTTTTTCGATTGGAGATTTTTTTTATCAACTGTATTAGGTGGTTACACACTAAAAAATTAGTTTGTTTATTAACTGTGTCGATAGTGATAAGTCGCTGTCAGCTCGGTGTGATAAATGTAGTGAACCGTGATTGGGGATTTGTCTGGAATACGAAACAGCTCGGAGGGGTTTCATTGAGGAAATTTTCTAAGTGTCGCATTTTTGTGTGTTCGTGTTTTCTTCTAGCATCTATTGAGTGAAAAGGAATTGAAGAAAAAGTCAACTGGATTTAGATAAATAGTGAAGAGCCGAAGAGTGTAGAGCAAAATACACTGCTAGTTTTCGGGTGGATACATCGATAGCGCATTTCGAATAGTTATAAGAAGGTGAGTAAACAATAACTCGATATGTCATCATTTATCACTTGGCATGAATGACTTCGAAAAGAAAAGGTGTTACCTGTTGAAAGGGGTCTAGCGAGATGTATATGGAACTAACACAGTTACAGGCCCAGTTGATGATTGCTTTGCCATTTTGGTAAAGTGTCTACTTACCTGATGTGTGTCGCTGGTTGGTCCGTCATCCATTGAGTAGATACGATTGAGCTCTCTTGTCTATTTTTGATTTTTCAAAGTCACTACTTACGCCTCGGGAAGACTTTGACTAATTACCCGAAATGTGACCAGAAGGAAGCCGTGCTCGCTTATCGAGGTCAAATGGTTGGAAAGGTCCGTTTTTATTATCTTCGGGCCCTTGCTTCACCCACATGCTGGAACGTCACATAAAAAGTCAATTTTGACAGTTCCTACATAAATCATGCACAAGATGATATTCAACCAATCCCGTTATGCTTTATGCGGGTTCGTTCGCCTGCTTCAGCTACAAAGGGAAAGATAGAGTGAGAGAGACGTAGTGCAAGATGCATCACGAAGTCATCCCTCGATTGTGCAGCTTTTGTTCCCTTGGCAATGTTCATCTGTGGTCGAACGACGAACCGCTTTTTTTTTTTTTTTTCCTTGGATTTGTTTTCCGTCGATCTTGTTTTCCGTGCTGAGCACCAATGCTACCGACGCCAGGAAGGCAGCTCCCACACCTGGACCCTACCTATCGACCCATCAACTCATGAACCGGGGACCAACGGCTTTACTTCCCATCATGATCAGAGATGTTATGCCTTAGAACATCCCGGCGGCGCCGACTGGGATTGAACCCAGGCCTGCTGGGGTGAGAGGCAATCACGCTTACCACTACACCACCGGCGCCGCTGATCGACGAACCGCTGTTGTTCCTCTTTTATTTTCGCGTCCGCTGCTACACATTCGGAATGGAGAAAAACACACCTTTTGATGTACTTTTACAACTCACCGCCCGCCGTGGGAGGAGACGGCAGTGATGCCAGCTTGAAGACCTGCAGACGACAATTGGGGCATTTGACTAATTTGATGCACAAAATAAACACTTCCTGTTCAAGTCAAAAGATGATTGTTAGTATCTTCTGGTCGGCAAGATCAAAGGGCTGTATCCACTGGCAAGATATCTTAAAACAAGGCAAAAACCAACGACTGAAGAAATGATGGCAAGCTAGAAAACAGAAGTCGAAAGCGATCGTTAATGCCCGTACGACAAAAAAAAACGGCACAATCTACCAAGACAATCAAGTAAACCTGAAACTTGCAGGACGGCATCATGAACTGGCTTCAACTACAGTATGTGCAGTTGCGCTTCAACTTAACCTTCACTGCTCTGCACACTCCCATCCTGGCCATTTTTTTTCCTCTGCAACTGGTCAGTCCTGACGTAGTAGAATGAGTAGAATGCACGACAAAAAGAAATGATCAACAGAAAAGTACCGAAGATAGCTTCCGGGAATTTTGCTGACATCCATTTGAAGACGGAGACCTCCTTAAGGAAGATGTAAGGGAACAACAAATGGAAAGCAAATTGCAGGGAAAACATTTCACTGCAATTTCGGGGGAATCCAAAAAAGTAAGACCGACCAAACATATGCGATGCATTTGTCTGGTCAAACGGGTTAGACTTTTTTTTTTCCTGCCTTCTGATGATCGCTGCACGAGCACTATCAAACGACAACCCACAAGCATCGCAAGTCTGTTGCTGTGGATATCTAGCCTACAGCCTCTATACCATACGCCTGCTGCGCTGCGGTCTGCGCTGGGTGTTGGTAGCGAATTGCCGCCATGTTGGATCGTAAAGTGGGTTGTATGGGTGCTTCTGACAAGTCTTGTGCAAAGCAGCAATACCCACACACCAACATGTGCATCGAACGACAAGAGCAGAAGTGGTGAAGTGGCTTAACCACAGCGCAGCAGTGCCTACAATATCTGTCTGTCTGTCTGAGTGTTTGCGGTTCAACTTAAGCCGAGTCGCTAACTTGAGTCTTCAACTATGTTACCTTTACCTCTACCAACACAGCACGCGCTCAATCGGTTCTCCCGTGTAGGTTGACTTTGTACGGCCACCGAGTGCTGAGCTCATCGAAATTGTTATCAATTCTTGTGGAATTTGTATGGCAAACACAACCGGCACACGGAGATGTGTACTTAATTTGCGTTTTTTTTTTTTATGCCGATACACATTTGTGTACTGAAGTGATTTTAAATCAGTGGTAGGATCGGTTAGTTTGCAAAAAGCATTTGCTAATTGCAACACCGAAATCAAATGAAAAATAATTGAAGAAATGCATATTTTAATAAATGACAATTTGTCACAAGAACAAGAACAGCTAAAAACTTCGTCTTTTAGCTTTTATCGTAGACAAACATACGATAGCAAATAAAATATTGCGATTCATTTCCAAGCAAAAGCCAAAACGAAAAATGTTGCGACTTAATTCCACAGCCTAGAAAAACAAAACATTTTACACATCATCAGTAATTCGACAGAAAAATACCATGAAGTCTGGAGTACGTTTTGGATAGGTCGTATGTAATAAACGTAAACAAATTTATATTTTGATGCTACCAGACACTACTCTGCTTACTCTTCCAAAAGGCACAATTTGGGCACGCTACCTCACTGACGCTCTTCGCATGTCAGATTATCGTTTTTGTCAAAACTGAGTTTTTCAATGCAAATGGTAGCTAATTACCGACATTTTTTATAATACTGGATGAACTCACAAACTTTGTTCTGAAAAAGTTTGGAAAGACAGTCAAATTGGTTGTCCCATCAAATAGTACTTCGTACCATGCAAACTTAAAACACGATTTTCTCGGTTGGCTGATTTTCGCTATGGGGCGGACATGCAAAGAGCGGCAGCTCATTTCTGGTTCATTTTCTCATCAAAAATCTATTTGTCGTATTTGCCTACCGATCAAAACATAGCTCAATGTTACACGAGATGTTACATGTTACAGAAGATGGACACTTAACTTCTGTGGGGGTGTCGTCGCATGTAACAAATTTGACAGAAACGTAAAAACTTTACATATGACCTGTTTTTTTTTTCCTAATAAAAGTGCTAATTTTGCAAATCTTTAATAAAAACCGGTTTTGGGTGGTCCATAAAATGATAGCTACGCTTTCCGTGAGTTATTTCTCATTATAATACATTTTGAAACCACTAAAATGCGCACGGTCGAACCACCACGACCTGCTAAAGGCAAAGGGGGGGGGGGGGGAGGTGGCTGCCAAATACGAACAATCTTTGCCTACCTCGCATAACTGGTTCCAAACGTAAACATGCCATAAGAAACCTACAGGGTTTGTTTACGTTTGGAACTAATTTCATACAAGAATGATCAGTAGGCTGATTTGACAGCACGTCCCACCCCAGGCAAAAGGTCGTATAATATTGATTGGTAATCAAATGTTTCTTGTTTACCAGGAATGCTATCAATACATTACTCAGTCGATAGCAGCACTCCGGAGATGTTAGTTAATGGGAACTTTGAAAGAATTGTTCATCTCATTGAAAATAGAAACCATTTTTTATTCACCAAAACAAATCACATCGTTTCTCTAATTGACAAAAATGTGATATACGACCCAATCAAAAAGGACTCCAGAAGTCGAAACGCAGAGGTTGACTTGTTTACGTCTAAAGATTTAATTAGATTGAACATGAGGTTTGCTGTGGACAAATATCGAGATTATTTTTGTTTACAACCGTGATTTCGTTGATAATGGAGAAAAACAGCATCAACACTAGTTTTAGGACATCGTATGCGGTATAGTTGACCAATTTCAACGATTTTTAGTGCTGACAACCTCGAACTTTTCCCGGTGGTGCGCAAGAGCAATATGATTGTTGCTTCTTCCATTTGTGGCACGAATCGTGACGAAATTTCTAGCACTGCAAGAGAAGCACTTTAAAAACAAACCCCTGTCAAAACATTCCACCGAACCGATCACTGGGAGCGCTGCTTTAGAATAAACTGTAATTCCAGATTCTAACTGGACCACACTTTTGTTGATTTCCTTACGACCAACGCCAGACACAATGACTTGTAGAACAGGTCCAGCATTGTGAATTTGCCGTCTCTTTTGATCGCCTGGGTAGGGTTGTCAGATTGTTTTCAAGCTTATCGGTAACAAAGATTTAAAAAAAAATCGGTATTTACCGGTATTTACTAATTTAATAAATTTTGTATTTTTGCGGCGAAAATATGAACTTTCAGACTAAGAAAGTAGAATTTACTTCCAGCAGAAGTCGGAACAAACTTCCGGGGAGTATTTGAACTACACACTTAGAAATAACTGATTTTACACGTGACGGAATCCATCTTTGACATAAAGGATCAGACGTAAACAAATATATCATGTCAAATTAAGTGTTCCGTGACTGAAATGTTCGTTCCTTGACGAAAAGTACGTTTGATTGAGTTGAATGTCAGTCTCAGAACACCTAGATTCAAACTTGCAAATACTCATTTCAGCTAAAATAATGTTTTTCGGAATAATAAAACCGAAAGATGGTATGATGACATGTTTTACTTGTAACTTACAAGAAGAGGCTACAAAGTATGCGCTTGTAACATAAAACCTGTAAATTTTGCTTTCTATGAGTCACAATCAGCGATTTGCTGATCGCTGAGTGAATGAGTGAGCGAGTGAGTAAGTGTGTGAAAAATCACTGATTGTGACTCTCATGAAGTGAAATAAACAGGTTTAAGATGTCAAACACATTATTTGCAACCTCTTCTTGTATCTTACCAATTCAAAATATGATCATAGTATCTAATTATTTCATAATTAAAAAAAAAAACATTGTTTTAGCTGAAATAAGTATTTTCAAGCTTTCCTAAATTTACATCAATTTTTTTAAGTGTGAAACTTCCAGCGATTGAAAAAGAAGCTCTTCTGGAGGAAGTTTGAAGAAAGTTCTATGAGAAGTCGGAAAAACGAAGAGGACAGTTTCTATGAC